CAAAACCCAAAAACCTCCCCCCTAAAACCCAAGAACCTAAATTTGCTAGCCTGAAAGCTAGACTGCTCAAGTAATAATCAAGTTGTAGCAACTTAATCCCTCTGTATTTGACATGTCTTATTAGTATTCTACAAGCTTGCAGGAAATTATTTCAAACATCTCCCTGAAGAGAAGGGAAAAGAGGGGAGGAAAACAGTTGTCTTAGTGCAGGGATAACTTGGGTTGGAAAAACTGTTTCATAGCTCTGATAATTGTACCACTGACTAACCTCCAACTGGGAATAACTGTTTTTATCATCACTATTAAAAACAGCCCCTCCTAACCCACACTGATAGGAATCTGGGAACTCACTGTAGCTGCATCCCACCCTTCAGCCTCTCAAAACACTACAGAGCCATGAAACTATGTGCTGGAGCAGGAGGAATCCCTGGGTTTAGTCATGCTGCACATGCAGCTCCTAGTGCAATACAATTACTTCTCAAATAGAGAGGCTTATGCAGAAAAGCACTTTTATTAGCAGTTTTAAAGAGGGGAGAGGGAACAAAAAGCACCACTGTTGGGTCAGTTTGAACCCAAAGGGTGTGGTATGAAAATCCAAGTGCTCCCAACAGATATGACTGGAAGTGCATCTTCAAAAACACCCAACTGCATAGCCAAATGTTCTCTCTAAATTGGTCACCTTAGTAGTGCAGCATCCAGCTGATACCTATATAAACCACGAAAGGAAACCGACTGTTTTTGCTACGTGTTTCTCTTTTGCATCTTGTTGCTTACAGAGGAACAAATAGAATTTAAAAAGGCTTTCAGGCAGCCAGAGATGCCAGAGAGAAGGTGTATAGCACAAGGGCTCACCAATTTGTTCAAGGCTTATTTCAACACTCACTGGGAACTACTGTTAGCAAGAATGAGCACAAAAAAAGAAGAAGTCATTTTTATGCACATTTTCTTCTCTGGTACTTCTCTGATCAGCTATCTATTGTTACATGCCATCAGCCCTCGCTGTTGTATTTCCACCCAGTGTGGTCTTAAAAGCAAAACAACCCCCCACCCCACCCCAAACCACCCTACAGAACTACCCCTCCTTTTCACTTCCCTCTTCTCACTAACAGGTCTTTCCTTTAAGAAGGAAAGAAAAAAAAAAAAAAAAAGGAACTGCATCCCCTGTTCTTCACATCGGTTGTCTGATTTTATGCCAACACACACTTCAAGTGTTAACTGAGTCCATTTCCAAACTCTTTCGCACAGCTTCATGCAAACAAGCTAGGTGACATTTCTAAGGCACTTACATAACACGCATTTTTGCCCAAGTGAGAAATCATCCCACGAGACACTGTCAGAAAAATAAAAAAAATAAAAAGCATCCACACAAACTACTTACACAGTATAGGAGGCAAATTGTGCAGTTTCCCAGAACCCCTCTGCTACATGCTGGACATGCCTGCATTTGCCTGGTGTGTGCAGTTCATTCATTCTGCTCCTGCAAGAGCGGACTTGTGTGCTCATCAGGTTTCTCAAGCCCCCCCCCAAAAGCTGCTGCTTTATGGTTCTTGGACCCTCAAACTTCTTTGAGGAAAGAGATGGAGGAAATAAACACGTTGCAAGCAAGGACTTCCCTTAGCTGGACAGACGCTTTGCAGCCCATGATTTTTCAGTCAATCGCTGCAAACCAACATAAAGCTCTAATCCCACGTAGCCCCCTCAGCTGGTAACTGGGCACGGAGAGCTAATCTCCCAGTTGAGCCCAGTAGCTCCAATTTATTCTTGCTGCAATCTCTCTCAGAGTGCTAACGGCTTCCTGCTCTGGAAAACAGCTGTGATGCAAAAAGTCTTGGCTCATTTTTGTAAACTCAGGAAGCAATCAATCGCAGTGTACCCCCCTCAAGTAATGCACAATGAAACGCTTCTAAAGTGTATCCTATAGTAGCGTGCACAGTTCCTTGGCAGCCAGGAGCAACAGTGGCAGCATGTCAGAGGCACCTCAGTCATTTGTCACATCCTTTCAAGATGGGGGGGGCGGGCGGG